CAAGAATCAAAACTTTTAATACCAAAAACATCAACTTTAAATAATTTACAGGGAAGAAATAAAACAATAAAATTTCCGATTCCAGCAAGCTTTCAAGATGAGAAAATCGATTTAAAGATGCATGCAAGATTTAATCATCCGAGAATATGATCGGACCTCACATGCAAGAACTCTCTTCTTCTTTCTTAGAGACTAAAGAATCTTGGGTCATAGATTATCATCAAATAAAGACACATGCAGGTCTTTAATGAATAATCTCTCCTCTTTAAATCTCATAAATTTATTTAAAGAATCGAGTATAAAGATAAAGGAGTTCGGGCAACTAAAAGGGAATAAAACTGTTCGTAAAACATACCTTTTTATTGACCGAATTAAACAAACAAGTCTCAAGAACAACAGAAATCTTGAGTTTTTGAAAGAAAATGGGATCGGTTGGAAGGTAATGATGTTAGAGAAAGAGAGGACGGTATAGCTTGAGTTTTGGAGAATGAGGAATTTTAAAAAGGAAAGGGGTATTTATATGAGGCTTCTTAGAGAAGGAATGGGCTGGCCTTTAAAGGCCCAAGCCCAAGATGTTTTTAATACTAGATCCCAATAATTTTAAATAAACAAAACAATTTGACAAAAGATTTTAAAACTCCACAACTAAATAATAAAAGAAATTGAAACTTTGGAAAAGTTTTGAATTTTAAGAGAACGAGACTAAAATATCAACTTTATCTTTTTGTGAAATATTTCAAGACTAATTGGCTTGCATGAATGAATTTGGTTAGCTATCGTCGAAACATGACCTAATCAGACTAACAAGACGATCTCTGAGACTAAATCTTAAAAAAAGACTTAGTTTTCAAACAAGATCCTGAAATAAAGTACTAACCTGAAATCTCACAATGCAGAGTTGTCACATTAATGTAATATAAATATATTATCGTTTGCATACTCTTCTAATTCATAAAACCGAAACAATTGAAAATATATAGAAAAGGAATAAAACATTAACATTATAAAAATTGAAAGATTCTATTTACATTATTGACTTCTACACTTGTCATCTTAAAAAAATTAAGGGTTCTTTATAAGATAAAAACCTAATTTTTTTCTTATTATGATAATTTTGAGAATAAATTTTATGATAAAGCATGTGATATCAATAGCATGTAAAACGTAGATAATGATACGATATAAAAACCTATAAACTGACGTCTTATAATCAAAATTTTCATCACCAAGTCATCCGTTGTTATATTAGGTAGATTTTCAAAATACAATATATTAATAAAAAAAATTAAAAGTATATATTGTTATATAATAAAAGAAATGATCATAAAGTGCTATAATAAAAAAGAGTAAACCACGATTTTTGTTCCGGTGGTTCATCGCTTATAACTATTTTCATCTCCAGTTATTGAAAAAAAAAAAGCAAAATGTACAAAATAGCAATCTACTTTCATAAATTTTTTATTATAGCATTGTATTTTCAATTCTTCTTATTACAGCAATATACTTTCAAACTATTTTTTATTAGGACATTGTACTTTAAAAAATTTACCCATTATAGCATTGGGTAACCTTTGGATTTAAATTTACCCATTATACCAGGTTTTCATGTCGCCTCGTTGTGCACGTAGGTTATTCACATGTACTATAGTGATATGACTTTCTTACTACATCATTGTACTTTCAAAATTATTTTATTATAGTATCTACTAGTTCTTATTAAACACTGTATTTTTTATTTTGATATTTAGATATTTTACATGTTATTTAATAAATATATTAAATAAATTTAAAAAATTATTCATTAATATACCAGTATCAATAAAACTAGTAAAACACAACTTATCTCGCTATTATTTTTAAAAAATATGTATTTTTTGAAAGAAAAAAAAAGAATTGTTCTTTTTTTACCAAAAAAATATTATCTTTTCAAGAATATATTATATTTGTTCAAAAAAAATTATCTGACGTATAATATATTAAATCAATTAGATTTTCTTGAATTATTNTATTAATAATATATCATATATTATATATTATGTTATCAATAATAATATAAGGACAAAATGCATAAAATAGCAATCTACTTTCATAAATTTATTTATTATAGTATTGTACTTCAAGTTTTTCTTATTACAACAATGTATTTTCAAACTATTTTTTATTAGGACATTGTATTTTGAAAAATTTACCCATTATAGCATTGAGTAACCTTTTAATTTAAATTTACTCATTATACCAGGTTTTCATACCACCTCATTGTCCAAGTAGGCAGACAACATGTACCATGGTGATGTGACTTTCTTATTACATCATTGTACTTCAAAATTATTTTATTATAGTATCTACTAGTTCTTATTAAACACAATATTTTTAATTTTAATATTTAGATATTTTACATGTTATTTAATAAATATATTAAATGAATTAAAAAAATTCTAAATTACTAATATACAAATATCATTAAAACTTGTATAACGCACCTTATCTTGCTAATATTTTTTTTTAAAATATGTTTTTTTTTAAAAGAAAATAAGAGTTGTTCCTTTTTTTTACCAAAAGATATTATTTTTTAAATAATATATTATATTTGTTCAAAAACTTTTGCTTGACGTATAAATATATTAAATTAATTAGATTTTCTTGAATTATTTATTAATATAACAATATTAAAAAATTATAGATCATAATTTATTTCGTTAACATTTTAAAGAGAACTTTAAATATGTATTTATTTGAACAATATAAAATAAGAAGTGTTATATTTTCTACAAACAAAATATGTCTCGAAAATAATGTTTCATATTTATTTAAGAAATATTTTACTCTAGAATATTTAATTTGCATGCAACTTAATGAGAAAAGGTCAAAAACTATTAAATGTTTTTTTTTGATTAAAAATAATATTCAACCCGCTATGCGGGCCGACTAATCTCAGAGTGATTACCTGTTTTGCAGATAGCCCGGAATCACCGCATTTGAACCTCCGTGGCCACAAGAGGATTTTTATTCCTCCTTGGATTTGAACCTGAGACCTCCAGATACTTTTGACCTTTGGAGTCAAGCTCAAACCAATCAGACACCTCCCTTGTGGTTAATGTTTTTTTAGATCATAGCAATAAAAAATGAAAATCACTAATAATAATTTGAAATAGGTTTTTGTTTTTATTTTTATTTTAGTTAAGTTATTAAAATGATGTGTCATCCACATCGCCTCCTTAAAGCCACACAAGCAAAAAAAAGTCAAGTGGTTAATCGGTTTAAAAAGTAACAGGTTATTCATTGATATTATGAGTAGATTGTTTAAAGTACGATGCCTTAATAAAAAATAATTTGAAAGTACATTGTTGTAATAAAGAAAAACAAAAGTATAATGTTATAATAAGAAATTTTATAAAAGTGGTTGTTATTTCATATATTTAACCAAAAAAATACCATTGTGATTTACATTTCAAGACTAACAAAATAAGAAAAATCAGTTAACACAAGAAGGAACATGACATTTTTAACCTTTATTTCTTACTTTTATTAAATAATACATTGTAGTAGAAGTCATTAAACTAAGAGGCCGTTTATCTGACACTTATCCTGTAAGCACTTAACGGTAAAATTCAACACTCATTTATTTAATCGGTAAAATTTTAGTCAACAAAAACGGCATCATAAGCAACAATTTACCCGGTAAGCGCTAACCGTGGTAAGAGTCATCGCTCTCACTTACCAGGTAAGACTCTCGGTCCTTGTCTCGCGATTACAGGGTAAGATTCTTAGTTCTTATTATATTCATACTGTAAGAAAATGCAAGTCAGTAGGCAAAATTACCCGATAAACACTTACCCGGGTAAGAGTCGTCACCCTCACTTATCGAGTAAGACTCTCGATCTTTATCATTACTCTTACCAGGTAAGATTTTTGACTTTTGTTATCTTCATCCGATAAAAAAAATTACCCGATAAACACTTACCAGATAAACGTTTAGTAAACAGCCCTTACGTTTCTCATTTTCAACATTACCGTTTTCATCACACAATCCAATGAAAAATGTTTCTGAGACGAAGAGCAATATTTTACAAACCACATGAACTAAAGGATCATACCACCACTAGCGATTAGAAATAAATCATCTACCGATAGCATTAGTTGAATTGAATTTAAAGAGAATGCATACAAGTTGACGAACAAAAAGTGAAGCTATTTTAACATTAAAAACAGAAGCAATCAACAAGCTACATGTCGAAAATTCATGCCTTGCGAGCACCATAAAAACATCAGGATTCCCATGTTTTTTTCACCTAGGCTTCTTCCCTGTAATCAGGGTTCTCTTTCAAAATTACAAATCCTTCGAGGATAGGCGAAAGAGGAATATACCTGCATACCCACCAAAAATAATATTAAAAATCAGCCTTCATAATCACCACCACCAAAAAAAACACAATTAAGAGATGTACTTCTCTGTTGCAAGTTCAGCCCTATCCCCAGCAGCCAACAGCACAGGGGTCGAATGGGTCTGGAACCCCGTGATGGTCTTGGGCCGACCTGCCTGCCCCACAACATCAACCGCTTGCCCTACCCGAACTGCTACCGACAAAGGTTTCAGATTTTCATCCACAGTCAGCAGCATTCTAGGCTGGAATCACAAACAAATATCAGTCACACTCCTTTCTTTTTCTTTTTTTTCTTTTTGTTTTGGGAGGCTGAAGGGGGACAAGAATGTGAGACAGCACAAACCTGCATAGCCAAAACTACAAAGTAGAGAACATAGTGATATTTCCCCAAGATGATAGCTTTCATATCAAGACATGCATGCAGTAATACCACGAGTCCAGCCAACGCCGTCCTACAAAAGAAGAATGGAGAATAATTTCCCATATATACAAGAACAATTCTTTGTTCACAAAAAACGATAACTGGTGCTAGATGGTCGAGTTACCTTTAGCATTTAATCTCCTACACTCTATATAAAAAATATAATTAATTTCAGATTATGTAAAGCATGTGATAATTTAAAACTTGATTGATGAAATAAACAGCCAGAATTTGACCAATCCCTGCTCAGTTTTGTAAAATATTGAATTCAATGATTGGTTGCTAATCAAAGCGGTGAGAATGCTCAACACCTACGCAGGCTGTTTAAGCATCCCCAACTAATCGAATCAGTGAGGCATGCTTAACACTTAGGGGACCGCTTAAGACGCATCCAAGGGGGATTTTTAGAACACTGATAATACCCAAACATCTTTGAAAATCACAAGCAGATGCCACTATAACCTTAAGCACACAAAATGTTTATCAGTAAGCTCTACTTACGGGGATAGCAAGAATCGTTCTGAGTGGTAGGGAGCAAGGGTCAACAAACCCTTTCCCATATGTACAAAACCTTGGGCAATCCGCACCTGCACCAGTAGTAAAACACAAATCATAAATAATGACCATATAATGCTTTGCAAGTAGAACAGTGAAAGGGCATTCAGCATAGAAAACTTTACACAGAAAAGAAGGCTGGCTTCTTTGTAGTAATAACTTGAAAGATTCCGAAGCATGCCAGCAATTCTAGCATTATTGGTTCCGGCACCTATCAATCCCAAAGAGATGACTGCTGCCTATACAACACCTCAAGAAAGTCATAATGTCGTCCACAACAAACTAGTAATACAAGTGGAGTACATTAAACAAACATCCTACCATTGCCACTTCTGTATCAGCATCATGACTAAGTCTACTTAATGTATCCATAACATGGACCTAACAGAAACAAACATTAAACATTAGAATTAACATTCACATTCAACCAGCACATTTAGTCACAGTACACAGTCAGGCTACAATATTAGTTGGTCACATCATTTATCACCTTCGGGTTTGATATGCAGAGAAGACCAAGAGCCAATGGAACTGCCTTTCTGATATTCTGCTCCCCATACTGTAAAAGATGCTCTAACGAACGGATTGCCATATCAAGACCTAGTTCCTCAGCCATCGCTACCATGGCTATACCCAACACAGCTGGACCCTGAAAAGTTTCACCCTTCTCAAGGTGTTGGGCACACTGACCAAGAAAGTGTTGAACCTTAAAAAAGAAAAAAGTATAACCATCAGCAATTTCATGGTAGGAGTTATGCTGGTATAAGCTTGACAGCAAGATACCTTCAACACATTTCCTGTGCCAGCATAGGCACAAGATAGTAGGGTCATATCGCAATACTTTCTAATCTTTTCATTGAATGTCTTTGATACCTCAGCAGTAGCCTCCACACTATCCTGTTGGGCAGAGATGGATTTCAAAATTACTGCCTGCTAGTATATTATAATGAATGCGCAAGCTGCTGCTTTTACCAAATGGATTTAGAAGTGGTTTAAATGCTAAAAGCCAAAAAAATTTCTTCTCAATGTGTCGGGTAAAACAACACGCGTTTCTTTATACCTGCTTCCCAAGATAAAGAAGACCTAAGCCAAGAGGTAGCAGTCGGGTGAGGGGCTCCCCCAAATCTGACTCACTTCTGTCCATTAGTGCAAAAATAATTGCTTGTGCAACATCTTCGTTACAAGAACCAACATACACCAAACCCAATGCAATTGCCGTGAAGGCGATGACATCTAATGGTGCCTTTGGGTCTCCAAGAATGGGAGTCAGTTTGTCACGAATCTGAAAAATGTAGTAGTTATGTAATTAAGAAAGAAGTTGCAATATTATCAAAGTCAAGAAGCCCTATTGAAAAGAACACAATACATGTCTGATAAATAAAAAGCATAAGGAAAAAATATAGTTCATTGCCATGGAGGTATCATTTATCATCAACACAATGAAGAGGAAAACTGATGCCAACCTGCTCATTCTGAGTGCCGGCATACGCAAGACCCAGACCAGTTATGGCCCCAATTCTAATAGAAGAGTCTTCTTTATCTAGATAATCAGCAAGAAGTGCCAAGGCCTAAACAGACCAATAATCTTAGATTCAAGAGAATGTTAAAGTCGATCTGATTTGAACAAAAGAAAATCAAGGCAACTCACAGGATCACAGTCATTCTTGATACCGCAGTTTACAACCCCAACTCCTAAGAGTGCACCAGCTATGACGTGATTATCATTGCTATGGAAGTACTTGTCAATTTGAGCAAGGCCAGCATCAACATCCCAAATATGGATCATCCCCTACGATGGTACAAACAAAATTAACAGTTCATACACAAAAAATGTTCATATATAAAGTAATAATTAAAATACACTATTAAACAGTTTTTACATACCAGACTTGCAGCAGCACTGGCTTTCCCATGTTCTTTGTTCTTAAAAAGCCAATTTCCAGAAGAACCTCCACTTGAAGCCTCTGAAGGAACTGTCATTAATTTATCCTTGAAAAGAGAAAAACAAACCATTAGTGACAATGGCAAGAACATTTAACATCCGTGTACAGAAAATCTACCTGACCGAAGCCAGCATTCACAAATGCGTTCACAAATGTGGCTGCCAAATTTTGCCTTGCTGAATCAACACTGGCACCAGCACTTGCCCGCCCATCAAGTAGATGTGCCTAAAGAATGGAACAACCAAGCATCAGAACAATAGTTATAATTGTTCATGAGCAATCTCTGGTGATGTGTAAACTAAGATTTGATGATCATTTGAAATGCTTGATATTTCACTTTATAGCATACTCGTGTCTCCCAACTTCTGACACGGGAAGAGATAAGGGGAGGATTGATATGAAGGTAAGCTTGTTTGAGTTCATGTCAATTCAAGACAATTACATGACCTATAGCTGGGATGGGCTAAAGATTGCACTGTATGACATCCCTCCGCCCCAGGGGAGGGTATATACAGTATTGTGCATGCACATGTATATCAGTATATATAGAGAATATCATGAGGCTGTCCATCCATGTCCGTAAAAGCTTGACTCAACCCAAATAAAAGAAAATTAATCAAGTGTAGATCCAACTTGCAAGAGTTGTTGCACAAGCAAAGAAAGTACAAAGCCTCTTTCGATACCTTGTAAATATCTTCAGGAGATTTTGGCTCCATGACTTCAATATCTCGAGCAAGGGTTAGATAGCCTTCACTTAGTTTAGTATTGTTGATGATCTCTTGCAAGGCCTCCCTGTCTTCATCATCAGCACACATCTCTTCGTCGAGCTCAAAACTTAGTCCCTGCATAAAGATGAGGTATGTACACCAATGACACTTGTAAATAGAAGAGCATTTGCAGCCTTGAAAATAAAGCAATACTCCAAACTCATCAAAATGCTACTCAAGTAATAATCCACCAAACCTATTTGGGGCATCTTTCATCTGTAAGACTACTTAGGTAGTAACTCAGTGAACTTCGTTGAATCTTTTTTCTCTTAAGAGATCTATGAGACCATAAAAAATAGACTACTTATGTGAATAAATACAACTCAATACTTAACAAGGGAAGGTCTTTTGTCATATGCTGTAGTACCTAATGGAGCACCTCACTTGAATAAAAAGGAATTAATCAAAGAGAAATTATGATCAATACTGAGATGTGAAAACAAAGAGCTTACAAGGATTAAAACTTACTTGTCGAGCAAGAATGTAACAAAATTGCTTCTTCCGCAAAAGATCAGGACAAGATGTGAATACCTGCTTCACATGCTGCCAAACAAACATCCAATGCTATATCAGAACATAAACCATCAAAAAGTGGTGGAAAACAAAAATATCATCATCTTGTCATGAAAATTATTTGCATTTATCCTAGTATACAAGCAAAAGATTCTATCATTTCCTGCCTTGCATAAACCTGAAGTACACAAGATAAGTGTATTCATAATGATCAACTGTACATTGTTTTCTATTAACATGCATATTAAAAATAATACATAGTCCTACTTTTCTTGTTTCCTAACGAGCCGGCTATGAACTTCTACACACAACCACTTTAACAAGATGATTTTAATCTAGACCTTGTTACTATACTTGTACACCGGTTTCATAAACCCGGATGTTAGCGTATTGAAGTGGGGGCAAAAACTGAATCTGATAGAAGGGAAGAAAACAAGGAAGACCACAACATTGCATCAAAACCAAGCAGACAGCCTGTAAGCTCGAAGGACTGTTATTTTCTATTTCATTTCTTCTCCAAAAACAGAAAAGAAAACAATTCACCTATGTCCCTGATTGATTTTACAGGTCCTACATAATATATCAAATAAAAAATATCTCCAGATAACCATGAATCGCAACCTGCATGTTGTGAAGATAGAGTGCAATCTGAAGGGCACTTGGAAATTCTTCAAATTTTGTGTAGATTGTGTAAGCAATGTCCAAAACTGACATGTCATCTGGTCCAGGGAGATACCTACAAAATGTTGGAATGAAAAACAATCATATGGACTACACAGTACAATAGCATATAATGTGACAAGCAAACATACAAAGAATGCAGAGAGATCAAGGAACCACATGTAAATGCTGAAAGCAACAAAAACGTTCGACAATTTTTCAGTAAATTTTGTAGTGAATGTATGTGGTGTGACAGTCATATGCGGCAAGATACGAGTACAAAGGTAAATTCGTAAAGGTGTATGAGGTAGCTATATTACATGTATGAGCTTTTACAAAATGTTGACCATCAACCATTACTAGATGACTCATTGCAAGGCTTGCTATCCCATCAAGTATCATGAATGTGGTCCCCAACTCTTCTTCCAAATAGTTACCACTCTATATGGAAGCTCATATCAAATACTGTTAGTAGTTACTACCATTCAATACTTTCTGTTTACAGACGACTCCCTCAATACAGTCCACAAGACAGAAAATGATTCCGCAGCAGAGTCTGGCCATCTCTTAAAGACGCAGCAGAGTCTGGCCATCTCTTAAAGACTCCAATCTAGAAACTCACAAGACCGATGTGGAATAGGAAGTTCCAGAGGCCTTTGTCAAACTTCATGATACCACATGCTAAAAAATTCAGAAGAACACTCATGTCACAAGATTTGGAAGTATGGGCTCTCAAGGATTATCAATCAAATTGAACACTACAAATACTAAAGCAGAAGCATCGACAATACATCTACCTCCACTGACTTTTCTCACCTTCGTACCAAGCAAAAAAAAATGAAAATTTTCCAAGGACAAATAAAAAACATGAAAATATGAACAGGTTCTACAAACTTCCCTAGCATCTACCATATGATTTGAGGAGCATGAACAATATGTAGAAGAAAATATTAAGACATATATAGAAGACAACAAATCATCTAAACTCAGTAGTTTACCTTGCTGAACTTGTTAGGTACAGACAAGTTCTTTTATAATTTGTGCTGTCAACATGCTTCACTAGTAGATCAAGAAATTCAACCTGAATGTAATCAGAGTTAAGATTCATCTTCATCTTATATAATTAGTATATCAAGTATGTCAAAAGTTGTCATGATACCTCCATCAAGAGATCTACAGCCTCTGGTTCAGCATTATGCTGCAATGCAGAAATAAGTGATAGAAACAAATTACGTTTAGATATGTCACCTAATATGAAAAATAATAAAAGAATGAGTAAACTACAATTCAACAAAGATTCAGATAAGACACCTTCATGTGAAAAGCAACAATCTGTTCCACAAGCTCTATTAGATCCTTTACTGCTGCTTCCTCATTCTGGATTGGCACAAAGTTGAAAATACATACATATATGAAAATTATCTAGTCTAACAATTAGTGATACGTACAACACAAATAAATACACTTAAAATGACATACTTGTCAACTCAAGAGAAGCACAAAACACTAAAATTTTCCTATTTTCTGGCGTGTACCACTAATCTTCACTCATAAAAAAAGCTAAAGATCCATGCAAACCATAATTCTACAGGACTAGTTCTTTTTATAATATCCCCAAAATTATATTTATAATCAACCATTATAGATCTATAGGTACATGAATAAGCAATGGCATCAATAATAGGTTCAGTTACATGAAAGAGCAATCGATATCCCCCACATCCTTGGCTTTGCAAGGGTTGGGGAGGAGAACACCCTTCCACTCACAATTATGAAAAGAGAGATTTCATAACTCAGAACTTCATCACAAATATCTCTTCAAAACTCAACCTTCGATAATTACAAAAAAATAATAAGAAAAAGAAAATCAACTTCATTAAAATGATTGGCCTTCATCTAAGAGGCCTCAAAGGTATATATTGATGATGTGATGTATAATTAATTTAAGAACTAGCAACCGGAATCATAAGGACTTCTGCAAATACAACAGGAAGAACAGCACAAAGATCAGGAAATACAGAAAAGAGTGATCACGTTGCAAAGCACAGCAAGCAATATCTCAAAAACTAGGCCTACATTTGTCTTGGGCACATTTACACATAAATAAAAATAGTAATAATAAATGATATTGATTGTACCACTCTTTTCGCATACTCTTGTGCAATTTCACCAGCCAAATTCCTACAGAGGTGACAAAATCAGTGATCAGACTAACCAATCAAGTGGTTGAATTAATTTTCACGATCGATTCTTAGATATGGAAAACTTTCTATAACAATTCAAGTCACATAATCGATATATTATAATGAGAATGCAGAATAGCTTTGAGAGGGAAAAATAATGTTGCACTGCAATATATCACAAATAAAATGACGTAGAATCTATGTATTCAGAAAGACAAGGATCAATCACTTTTCCTCTTAATGCTTATAGGCACATCTATATAGTATATAATGAACACACACAATAATTGTACAGGTGAATATGTATACTCTACCCTTTCAATAAAATAGGTGAAAAAATTGGATTCTTGTATCATTCATGGCTTCCTATCTTTCCATTTGCCATCACAATCTCAAAGCAGAGTCCAGAACTGGCAATAATATGCAGCAATAGAAGTGAACAAACAAAGTACTGCAGAATATATTAAATATATGCACAAAATTAATGGTAAGTATAAACTAAAATCTCAATGAAGAACTATATATGCTGCTAAACTGAACTTAAGAAAGTATTCTGCATCACAGCCTTGCAAGAGCCATAATACTTGTAGTAGATATCATCTTTAAGAAGATTGAACTATGTGGCATCCATCCATGAATGTGGTTAAATTGCTGCAAAAAAGTCCTTTGCATAATTCTATTACAGAGCAAGCAAGGAACACATTTATTTCCTTCCTTAAGGTTATGGATGTATCTTGTAATTCTTTTTTTCTGTTGTAACCAATGAAGTGATCATCAATGATTAAAGCAAAGGGAGATGCAGTAACTACCTAACATACTCATGACCCCAGGAACCAATATCGCCTTCAGAACCCAACAAGCGATACTTCAAACTCTCCTGGAATATGCAAAATGGGGAAGACCTCAGTAGCAAAACACAACACCAGAACAGCATAAAGCACTAATCCGTAATGAATACACTTTTAAAGTACCCAAAGGGTATAAACCAGCAGAGCAAAAACTCCTTGGACAATTGGAAATTGCCACAATCTAAACTAATCAACTATGTATTTAGACATACAAGAAAAATCTAAATTAATATGCACATGGCTAGCTTACCCGCTCACCCTCTGCGGACATTGTCAAAGCCAAAACTGAAAGTATATCTGCAAGTAATTTCTGCATCAAGATATAAAGTCAGTCAGAAAAGTTGACAATGAAAATAGGGATGTTTGTGATGCTACAAAATGAAAGAAATACCTTTAAATCAGAATCTGGCATTGTGTCGTAATATGATTTCAGTGTTCCATAATGCGGACGCAAAAACTTCAGTGGCTTTGGGACCGAAGTCATGGAGCTCGTTGATGTTCGGATTTCTTGCCTACAAGCAAATATGAATATTTTTAGTATAGAACAAGCTCTGTGTAAATTGCCTATATATTTTATAGATATGTATATGTATATACATGTCTAATGGTTTTTATGAACATGATAAACTAACAGTAGAAAATTGCAACATAAGAGTTGAATTGACAAGTGGTAATGCAGTAGTCATTTTACTGGTCTAGTAACTTGTAATGCAGCAGGCCTCTTGTTGGTCTAAAGCATGCAAAGAACCACTTCTGGGAAGTGGTTACATCTCCACTCAAGAATCTCTATGCAATCAGAGGCTATTTTATATAATATTTCCATTGCAATAACTCCCAAGGGCAAGTATGAATATCATAACAACATCAAGTATTATATGGAACAATATGAAGTTCCAGATCAAGCTACTAAAAATGATAAAAGCAGAAAGGAAAAGGTTGACGTATGAGCTCATGTAAAATGAGTCATATTGCAGTGCCACTTGGTGAAGGTCAACATTTTACATTCCTAGGTTTTGAAGTATCAAAAAAAGTCCAAGCATTTCTCAGTGCTAATCATCATTCAGTACCTGAGATTTGTAACTGAAGTTCTCAATGATGGCAGTTTTTATCAAACTTTGCAAATGGGCAATAACAATTTTACAGTTTACTCTTGCTCAGAACATGGTACGCCTTCATGAATATGTGGAAGCCAAATTCCCATTGGCCTTCAAAGTAATTATAACTCTCAGTAATCCTAACCATCTGATTAACGAAAAATAATAACTGCTTCCGGAGAACAGATATGTAACATGTATACTAAACGTAAGTTCCTCGCAGTCAATACCTTCAAGCAATATAAAACCCCCTTAACACTCCCAGCCATAAGAGAAGTGAATAGAGACTCATAAGCCTCTTATAATCGAAAATTTCAGGCACTCAAACGTTTGAGCTAACAGATCTCAATAAACCAAACCAACACTGCTAGCAAACAAAATAATCCACAAAGAGTGTACTTTTTCATCAAAGAAAACCACACTAAAAGTAAAACATATCAGTACCTCATGCTCTCAAGAGCAACCTTCTGTAACCCCTGATCGACATCCTGAACTCTCTCAACGTACAACTCTAATTGCTGCTTCAACGCCACATCCTCCTCTGACTATCACATTGAAAAACAAAACAAAACAAAAATCAGAAATTTCCAATCCAGATAATAAAATAAAACAATTGAGCACTTACAAGATCTTCATCTTTCTTATCATCTTTCTTCTTGGGATCTTTCGATGGGACCTTCAGAGTCGCTTCTTCTTTGGGGTTTCCACTACCGCTACCAGTATTGTTTGGCTCCGGCTCCATAGCAGATAACAAAATCTAAAACCCTAAACCTTGAAATCGATGAGAGAATTGGAGCAGATATTTGAATCCCAGATTGCAGATGGTGTTCTAATTGGAGCAGCGAAGGTATAAAGCCGAGCCCTTACAATTCTTTCTCCCCAAGCAAACCGCGAGAGTGATATCTTTTTCTTTTGTAATATTTTTATTCCTGAAATGAAAGCAGTAAAAGCACGCGTCGCCAACCAAAGACCCAGCCCAAATTTATAAAAATGGGCTTCAAAAATATATGGATTTTGAAGCCCTCAAAAATACAATAACGTATCAGTCTCGAATCTCCATTGTTATTTTGTAACTTTTCTCAACCAAAAACACCATGTCCATTATTCATGTTAAAAGGGTACTCGTATAATATAACAAGATAAATCTTGATTTTAGTATTTAATTTTTATTCTGTCTTTATCAATATAATACAATTTTATGTAGTTTTGAAAGCGATAATGTTTTTGTTTTTAAATGAATATAAATTCGAAGATAACATAAAATTTTGAAAAAAAATAAATCGATATTAGTATTAAATTAACTATTTAATAGTTTTCGTTTTTTGGTATAACTTTTTTAATTCAATTTTTTTGTTATAACTTAATTTAGATTTAATAATAAAGTAATTTATTTTTGGTTTAATAATATATGTTTTTATAAGGATAATAGTTAAACTTTCTGTTATAACTTAATGATTATCTTAATTATATTTTAGATTTTCTATATTTAAAATGGATGTTTATTCTGTATTTGATTATGTTTATCTACAGTTAGTTACACAAATTTAAAAATGAAACTTTAATAAGTTGTACTTACGTAAAATTATTTGTAATCTTGAATTTTAAGTAATATGAATCAATAAACAGTAATTCATGCATAAAAATGGTTTTTAAGAGTTTTTGTCATATGTTTTATAAAATATTATAGATATAAAACCTCGTTCCTCGCCGTGTCTAAATAGGTCCCAATTTTTTTTAATCAATTTAAAATGTATAAAAGTTTTGTTTGAACATTTTGTCTTTTTTTTAACAATATCTTATATATACTACCTTATAAATCATATTTGATAAGAGTCTTAAAAACAAGTTTTAATGCATAAAGTACTCACTTCTTTATGCAAAGAGTCTTAAAAATCTTAAAAACAACCTAAACTGCACGAGTTACTACTCTTTCATGCATAAAATCTTAAATTTCTGATTACAACTATTCCCCTCCCAATACAATCTATTTGGCTCCCAATGTTTTTTATGTTCCCAAATCTGGCATTGAGGAGGCTATTGATTTTCCAAGGAGTGCTATTGATTTCCCATACCTCGTCCTCCTCCTATCCATCATCACCTCCTCTTGAGTATCTGCTTCCTTCCTCCTCCTCTCCATCGTCACCTCGTTTCCATCGTCGATGCTCCTCTCGACTCCATCTCTACGCTAAATCGTGTTCTCTATCTTTGCTTCATCTCCCTAAAGGGTTTCCTTATCACTTTTGATGTATTACCTGCATTAGGGTTTCCTTTTACACATTTGAGTTTCTCCATCACTATTTAGGTTTAACCTTTCTCCTTCAACAGATTTTTCCTTTAATGTATTTTACGCTTTTCCTATTATACATGTTTTGGTTGTACCAATGTTTTTTTTATAAATGATCATTTTTGAGGAATAATTGTTTTGCTTTGTTGTGTGTAGAGTTGGGTGTTTTTAACCCCCTCTCTTCCAAATGGTAGTTATCTCACTTATAAAATAGGATTATCTACTCTTCAATTCATTACTATGGCTTCCAAATGGGTTTTGCTAATCATCAAAGGCCACAGAAGACTCCTTATTTTTTGTTTTATTCATTACCCAAGAAGTACCATTGATGTAATCCATTTTCCCCTATTTCATCTTCTTTTTCAATAAAAATTACTGTTTTGTTTCTTTGGTAAAATTAAAAAACTAAAGACCCAATTGACATGGGAAAGTTTGATGTCATCGATTCATTATACAATGCAATGAATTTTTGTTTATAAATATTATTATTATTATTTGTTGGTGGATTTTATAGTATAAGCATTGGACCATTTGTTTTTGCAGAGTGAAATTTTATATTTTGATGTTAATTATGTTGAAAAATTGATGCTTTTGAAGAGGTTTTGCTATTTAGTTGAAATATGTTCTTGGAATCAGCTTCAAAACTAATAATAAACCTTTCAAGGTCTCTTTCTCTCCTGTGTAATAATCTGAATTCGAACTTGTCATGGATTCTTTTAGGTCTTGTTCTATTTGAAGTTTACCAGGTCACATGTATAGTTATCTGTTTTACACTTTCACTACAAAACTCATTTACTTTTTTGTGATTAATATTTCTTGGTCTACATTTTGACCACATGTATGTGGTGTTTGCACCTACGAGAATAATGTGATAGGGTCTATGTAAGTAGTTACCGGTAATAGTCAATACTTGTACTTAACTTACGAGGTAAGATTTAGTTTCATTAAAACAACATTACAGTGTGTTCTATTATGATGTAAGATTTAGTTTCATAAACGATTACTGGTCTGATATGATCTTACCTTGTAAGCATCATCACTCTCACTTACCGGGTAGACTCTCAGTCCTTGTTATTGCTCTTGTTGGGTAAGATTCTCAATCCTTGTCATATTTACTCGATAAGGTAAAGTGGCCCTGTAAGCACTTACCGATAAGCTTTTCACAAAATGACCCATTAATACCATGTGAAAAGCATGCACATTTGCTAATTGCTAATAAGAATTCTTGCAATTTACTAATTGCATTTGAGATAAATTCATTTATTGTTTGTTGGGTTACTTTTTTTGTTTATACTTCTTTGTTCATAGATTTTACGTACTATCTCACCCTTGTCTGTTTTTGACCTTAACCATGTATGGCGTTTTGGTTGATTATCAGTTGCAGGTGGCTAACACACTAAAGATGAAATCCTCACTAATGTAAGAATACAACTCCACTTATATCTGATGTCATGTAGAGCTATATATTCGGTGTGGTGAGCTGCAAATCGAAGATTTGGTGCCAGATGTAGTCTTACCTTCGATGCACTTCTCCAAAGTTTTGATTTCTCCAAAGTTTTGACTTCTCCATAAGTCTCTAAAACCCTAAATTTCTGAAGCAAAGTGCTTGATCAGAAATCTTTTTTTGTTCTTGAACTAGGTTTGCAATTTAGTTTTCTTTTTTATCTTGTTAAACATCTTAGATTTTTATTATATATTGTGTTATACATATATGACTTTTTTTTTCTTGTATATTTTATTGTGCAACAATTGCCATGGACAAACCTATATCTACTTATATTTTGGGTAAAAAATTTACTTCTCTAAAGAATGAAACATCCATGTTTTTAGTATGTGGGTTCTATCTCTTCATCACTATTTTGTGATAATTAAATATTGGGTATGTCGATATGTTCACTTACATTGATTGAAAATTTACATCCCGCCACATTTACGTGTTTGGTCTCCTAAAAACCTTGGAAATGTAGGGTTTTGAAGGCTTTTTTATTCTACTAGCAAATAGCAACAAAACCTAAGTGATCCTAATATGCTTCTTCTCTTATTTTGAACTTCAGATCTTGAGGGGAAGTATGAAGAATTAGAGGAGTATTATAAATATTTGACTATAACAAAAGGAAGATAAGTTTGACCTGTGTCAAGGTTAGGATCGTTTTCGTTTTCAATCCCATCTCTATGTTCGCTCTGCTATAGTTGAAAGAATGCACGTAATCGTCAGGTGGAGGGGTTAGGGAATCGGAGATTTGCTTTACATCCAGTTCAGGTGGAGTCTTTTTTGTTCCCTTATTTCTTATTCCACTTTATTGAATTGTTCCCGTTAGTTTTTCTGTTTCTATCTTTTATGAACATGTACCTTCTGTTTAGGAAAGTATAAAACCTGCTTCTATTGCTCATTCCACACCCAAATGCTGTGTGACACCTTTGATAACTCCTTCTAAGGTGGTATTTGTAAATTAAGTTGTGACAAATTTTTATACAACATAAGCTTATGTGAATTTGGTGCTGCAGGTTACAAATGGGGTCAATAAGCAACTTTTGGCAACCCCTTCAGCAAAAAGAAGGTAAATGATTCAAATTATTTGGTAAAAGAATCAAGTAATGGTATCAAATTTCTTGTTTTTTTATCATCTCTTGTTTTAGAATGGAATTCTCCTAAAAGTATTAACCTTCCTCTTATTTATGCATCTTAAAGGATGGAAACTCCTGTGCATCCTTCAGCTGTTGGAAACAAAAAACATGGGCAAAAGTGATACATTTTCTCAGCTGTGTAAGTTCCAAGAATCACGTTTTAGGGGGTGTTTGGGATTGCTTATTTAAAACGACTTCTGTTTTTTTTTGTAAAAGTGTTTATTAACTTATATGGTATTAAACCGGAGTTAAATAAAACAGGGTTAAAATTGTAAACTGTTAATAAGCAGTTTTTCATAAGTCAGGAATGATTAACTTATCAAAAACAACTTATTACCGGTTTGGCACCGGTATAAGCAGTTTTTTTTTCTTATCCAAAAACCAGAAAACAGCTTATCACCGGTGTTAGTGTTAGATCCCATAATGCAAAATGTAAAAAGTAATGAAAAACAATAAGCGATGAAGAACCAGAAGACCGATGAAGACATCAAGGCAGAAAAGACTAAGTCTCGATTCATTATACAATGCAATGAATTTTTGTTT